TAACCACCCGCGATATCGCGAGTAGCACCAAACTTCGAGCGGCGCATTGAATCGATCGTATCGATATTTTGAAGATCTTTAACGCCACATCTCCAAAAAACCTGGTATATGATTATGATCGTTCTGTTCGATATTTTTAATGACAGTCACTAACGCTCAGTCTGTCGTTGCCTAACATGATCGAGAAATCGATATTTCTCACGGGGATTTCGGTCTAGAATCGAAATTCGATCTCTGACGCTTCTTGATGCTTGATCATGGTTCTTGGCGGCAACTATCGAAGTAATGACCGGTTTCTTACACTTGTGTGAGTGGCTTGAAGCATTTTGGTCTTTCGAGATGTCTCCAGTCGAAATCATTGGAGATGTCCGTCCAAGTTTATAAAATAGTTCACGCGCATCCTTCGTGAAGACCTGTTCTCGTTTGTGATCAGTGGCCCTCGATACTCTCCCGTGAAAATGCGCGCCCACTTTAAGTACGAAATTCGAGACCGATTTCATTTTTTTCTTTAAAAAATAATTTTTCACTCATTGCTGAATTTTATAAAATAATAGAAAATGCATATCTACGTGAAGATTGTGAAGTTTCTGTGGAGGAAGGAGGCTGAGGCCTTTATAATTGAGGGATCAGTGGAACATTTTTCAGATCATTTTTGGGGCCACTGAACCTCCAACTAGTGCAAATTTAGGCTCTTAAACGCCCTGTTGTCCTGGCGTTCCGAGGATATTTTCTTGCGCAATTTCTTTCATATCGGTCATAAATCGTTTTATTGAGTTGGTTCATTTCATTCATCAGGTCAAGAACAATAAGCGTGGTTGGAGTGCTACCCCTGAGTGTTTCTTCCTCTCGTTATCCGAGCAGTTTAATTTCCTATTAGGTCATAACAATTATTGTTTATCGATGGATTAAATTGATTTAGCGCGATGGATTTAACTCATGAGTAAGGCGGAATGTTGAAAATAGCTAACAAACTGTGGATCGAAATAGAACATTTGGTAGGAAATTTTGGTTGAAATGCGTTCCCAGCTAGTTTTGAAGGGCAATACACTCTACACCTCACTACAGACTAATAAATTTAGGATGAAACATGAAAAATTTCGATAATTTTTGCAGGGATATCCTTTTCGGCCCTTCTTTTCGGATCTCCGTTTTTCCAGAGGAGGCTTAAATTATGCATCGAACTTGGCCGGGGCACACTTTTGGCAGAAAAAACTATGTCATTCTCGGAGTGAAACAACCTAGCAAAGACTCGAATTCATTCTTTTAAGTTCTAGCAGCTTTGTTATTCTTCTGCGGTCTGGCACACCATTAAGATTTTCAAGTCTTCAAAGTTTGCTCACGCTCAAATCAAAATGGCACACAATAAATTAAGAGAAACTTACCACACTGACTTACCCACAGACTTAACCCCTTTTAGCAGATCGCCTCATGAGAATCAGAGTGTCTCAGAAAATGTATCAAAACCATTTAGTTTGACAGATCTATAAAAAATCTTGGTTGATAGGAGAAATTGTCGTTTATACTGAAAATTAATCATGGAGGCAGAATTTCTCCCAGCAGATCACACGCTCCTCAGGTCCAGGAATTTACCCTCTCCTCTTTTTCATTTACAGACAGTCGGACACTACGGAATTTTTCACGTAGTATATGAGGGGCTTCTTGAAAAAAATTGAGAAGACGGTGGAAAAGAAAGAAACACCGAGATTTCTATGCTCTTATGGAGCTACATTGAAGCAAAGCGGAGACCAGCAAGTAACACGTGGTTGGCCGTTCGATTGTTAGCAGGATCGATATGATAATAACTCAAAATCGTCTTCAGTGATTACCTCCATAATTTGTACGTTAATTTTCCGGCTAGGTGTGATTTTTCACGTAGGCATATTTCTGATAACCTCTCATAACTGGTGGATAGCATTTCCTCGTTGAATCATATTGAAGTCTACCAAAACTTATCATCAACAAGTCTGAATGTGTTACATTCCGATTTAAAAAGAAAAGTACACTCAGGCACATAAGGTTTTGTTTTTGTTTTTTTTTTGTTTGTTTTTTTGCAAAAGAAAAAAAAATCAAAAAAGGATTGCAAGCATATTTAGGCGTAGACTATGTGTGCCAAAACTCTCAAAATCTTCCTATCGATTCCCCCAATAACTAATCGAAGTCGCCATCGAAGACCTCACTGGTGACGTCATCGAAACTTCAGATCGTGACGTCATTTCAGTCTCCATCTATAGAGTGACCAATTTCGCTTATGAATACGCCACCGATGAGTTACACGATGTATTAAATAGATTCAATTAAGACTTTTTTTGTAAAATCATGCAGTTGATGACATATAAAAATGCTGCAAGGAAAAAGGTCTTAGGTCGAGGCCAAGGTCTTATAGGTCAATAAAGGGGGGGGGGTGGAGCGGAAGGGATAAAGAAACTGTGAGAAATTGTGGGTATAATTTTTTCATTCGAGAATTTTGAATGTTCCCGCGGAGCTACAAAACACTTTCCCCCCTAATATTGACATTACACGTTTTTTAAAATTTTTTTCGAGGGCTAATGAAATCTTTATACCTAGTGCGACGATGGAAGTTCCAGCTACCCGCAAGAACGGATCAAGATAGTGGATTTTTCAGGAATTATCGCCCCTTAATAATAATGTCATCTTGTTTTCATGTGTGAAATAGATCTCCTACTCCCTCCTCTAGTTTATCTTCCCCCAATAGCACCCCCACAAACAGTCTCCCGATATGAAAAACAGGTGCCATTTCAACTGCATTATTTCAAAATAGGCAGGCTTCGAATCTATTTTTAAGTGATTACCTGCGTTTACTTTGTATCATCAGTGCGTGGATATCCTAAAAATATGATTCATCAACTCTCGTTGCCCAGTAGGTCAGTTTTCGAGATCTGCCCTCGTATCGCCACCACTCGATCCCGCTATCAATCCGAGATTTAGTACTATCCTTCTGAACTTCGCTTCCATTTCGATGAAATTTTGTTTGTTTTGTCGCAACTATCGGTGCATGATGTCATTCTGTGATTTCGGTGCTTTTGTATATTATGACTCTCGTCAGTTTTGGAGGTTCATTTAGTGCCGGCCGTTCATTCCGACTCGCCCGGAATAATAAGTCATTTGCGTGAGTAAAATGTTAATTTATGGGTATATTTTTCTCTCAAATTGAGTGTTTCGAGCCGGTCAAGCATGAAGTGCTGGGATGAGTTTCATTTTTCGCCGATTTCGTACTTCCGGTATCGGGTAATGGGACGCCACTCACATTCGCATATGCTTCAGTATTTTTATGTAAGAAAATTTTCTTGTCAATCACTCTACAGTCTCATGTAACCTCATATTCGTCTCTGAGCTCTCGAAGTCTTTTTACGCTTCGAATCAATTTTTTTTTAATTTTTGAAGGGGTCGCTCTTTAACCGCATGGATCTGCATTGTCATATTTTCACTTTTGCTCCTGGATTCTGGTATTCTGAAATCAGTAATCAGCCTCAGAGGTGAATTGCATTTATAGGTCTCGGTCTGGGTGCATTTTATCAAGTTTTTGTTTGAAATTCTACTGTGACGCTTCATGTTACGTTTTCAAGGTTCTTTTTTCTCCTATTTCCATTCCCATATGATTTATTCTAAAGTTGGCTTCATAATTCATTTACTGCTCGAAAAGCTTGAAAAAGTATACAAACCTGTGCAGAGATGAGTAGGCAACGGAAGTCTCTTAGATTTCCTTCCTTCAGTTCTATCCTTTAAGTGAATTAGAACAGTCTAATGCCATTTTAATTGATGGCAGACTGACGCGGTTTCACTGCACGCTCAGAAAGTTACAAGGATCAAACTTAGGCTCATCTGAAACACCACAGTTTTTGGTCTGAACAACCGAAATCCACAGTCATGGGAATCGAGCTCCGATCTAGAAAACCAAACTTTAGCTTTCATTGCCAATAGAAACCAGACGTCAAGTTTGGCATAACCCTATCTCTCTCTCCCATGTCAGATACATTTCAGGTATCCCTGGATCCCCCTCCATCTTAGGACCCTGAGGTCATTTATGGACGACCTTTCACCAGACTTTAGGTGCGACCCTCACAGAGACAAAGAGAGGGCCTTCCACTGCACTCTTCGCTACAGGTGGAAACTTTTAATTTCGGGGATTCAACACTGCCTTATGGAAAATTATAAGGGAGCACCGGTTATAACCCTTCCTTGGGCTTTTGACTCGCCCACCAGGTAGAAGATGAGCTTCGGGTGACGTAATGAGCCAAACAAGTTTGCCAACTTTCAGTTTGTTTGCGAAACGAAAAACCCAACATGTTGCTCACCATCCACCTAGCAGGTAAAACAACAGTTTGATGTTGGAGTCCTGAAAGTAAAAGCTTCCATCATTGGATTACATTTTGCAATATGGAACCACTACTCCTGGCCCATTTTAGAAATAACATACATGCCACCGGTTTTCCAATGCAGATATGTGCTTTTATGGGAGAGCCAGAAATGGTGGTTCCTTATTGCAAAATGTAATCCCATTCCTAAGATAGCAAGGAAAGGTCTCATTTTGTCTGTGCACGGAGAAAAAAACCTCCTGCGTGGGACCCGACGTTTAGGTCATATGGATCTCTGAAGTTTTCGGATTGAGCATCTGAACACTTTAGGTCTAGCTGCCGAGGTTTGGATCACACATCTGAAACTCCAGTTCTTACATCTGATGTACTTCAGATGTGAGAACCGAAGTTTTTCGGATGTGAAAACCGAAGTACTTCAGATGTAAGAACTGAAGTTTCAGATGTGTGACCCGAACCTCGGCAGCTGGGCCTAAAGTGTTCAGATGCTCAATCCGAAAACTTCAGAGATCCATATGACCTAAACTTCGGGTCCCACGCACGAGGTTTTTTTCTCCGTGTGGATTCCCATGACCGAGAACTTTGGTTACCTAGTCCGGGAACTTCGATGCTCCGTAAGAACCGAATATTTCTTCTCTAAGCAGGATTTTGGCTAAACGTGCGTAGTAAGCGCGAAGTGCCCTCCGACGAGGGTGTTGGTCATTGGAAGTAAAAAATGCCCTCAAAATCGGATTAAGTTGGGTCTGTGAGCGGAATGGCGATGGCCGACGACAACGACGTGGATTCGGAGTGGGACGATTTCGATCGTCTCATGAGCGAGTACAAGGTGCGGCAGAGGAGCGTGAACCCCTCGCCGGTCCTCCGGCACCGAGACCGACACATCGATGAGTACTACTCGAACCAGCAGCGGGGCCAGAGCTTCTACCCCTGCCCGGCCCCGGAGCCCAACTTCGATTACCCCATCGACTACATTCAAACTGCGGTGAGTATACGGGGGGTTGCATCATGAATGCCCGCCATCGAGGGGAAGGGGCCACACTAAGGTTTTTTTCTTGTGAGGAATTTGCGATTTGACTGTTGATTCTTACGTAAAAGTTCGCGAGAGACACGATGGTGCTACTGGTTTTCTCTGAAATCAACTTCCAAGCTCAAAAAAAGCTCTCAAGTTGAGGCCAAAATGGAGGGGACATCCTACGCTATCCTGAGAGTCCACCTCTACATGAAGACAAACTCTCCATGCAAAGATAGGGAGCAAATACATTGACAGGGCTGCCACTTTATTTGAAGACTCTAAAACTAACAACACGGCATCACTGCTGATGTATTTGCTCCCTAAATGTGCATGGAGAGTTCGTCTTGATGTAGAGGTGGACTCTCAGGATAGCGTGGGATATCCCCTCCATTTTGGCTTCAACTCGAGAGCTTTTTTTGAGCGTGGGAGTTGATTTCAGAGAAAACCAGTGGCACCATCGTGTTTCTCGTGAACTTTTACATAAGAATCTACAGTCAAATCGCAAATTCCTCACACATGCAACATCTCCATTCCTTCATTATCAATAGTTAGGGGTGGACTGGTTACAAATTTTCCGGGGGGGGGGCCCTCTGAAAACAAGATTTGGAGCTCCTATTGATGAAGGACGAAAAGTTTATAAAGAGGCCTTGAGAGGCTCCACGAGATTTCTCAATAGTGCTAAGTAAGGCCTCTAAACTGTTTCTCCCCTGCTTTGAGGAAAAGAAGAAAGAAAGAAAAAAACTTCGGACATGACTGCTGTTCTTACGGGCTGTATTGACATACCGTCCGCGTTCCGGACTCAAAGGCTGAAAGTTCCGGGCGCAGCACCCAGAGCAATCGAAACTACGGCTCCGGCCCACGGTGAATCGAGTCAATAGGAGAGGTCGGACAAAATTTGGAAACTTTAAAAGCTAATAACTCCGTTTATTCGAAATTTTGAGGTACTGAAAGTGGTTCTATATGTTTCCTCGTGAAATTATCTGCGAGAAGCACCCCTTATAATTTAAAATGTGACGAAATCAACATCAAAATTTGAAGTTTCAGTCAAAAATGTCTTGTCCGATTTCTCTAATTGACTCGATCCACTGTGTAACACCCAGAGCTTTCGGCCTCTAGCGTGGAACGGACGGTATGTCTATATAGCTTGTGACTTTTTTTTTCAGTGTGGTGTAAGAGCGTATCTTGATATCCGCATAAGCATGGATTTACATGTAATACAGGGATCGCGCATTGGTGGATCCAGCAAACGGCAAAATTGGCAAAATTGTTTTTCTCCATTTAAAACTATTGAAAATGCATCGATTCTTGGAGGGGCTAGGTGCTCTGATAACAATCGATTATTTAACAGATTTAAAAACGGAGGGAATCCAGTGTCGCCAAAATCCTGGATCCGCCTCTAGGCTCGCGTGGAAATTGAGATACGCTCTTACAATCTATATCTTACTTTTCTTTTGTGAGATTTATTCTCTTGTAAGTCAAGATTGAAGTTACGAATAGAGTAAAAATCATTTAAAATCGTTACCAAGTGTGAAAGAATGTTTACAGGTACATGGTTCGTCATTGGAATGTAGACAGATATTTTTAGTCTATAAATAATCAATTACTGATATTCCCCTTCTATAAATAACCAATTACTGGTGTTGACATTAGAATCCGATGCTGATAGTCACGGTGGATTTAGAATATTCGACTGGTCTTATTTTGATAAGGAAGAGTGTAATAAAATCGTCTGGTCCCACTCAATCTGAATCACTCTGCGTCATAGACCCAACGCATCGGGCTGGGGGTATGCGATGGATTGGGTGATGGAATCTAAGTGACTGACCTCAGTGTTTAGATCATGCCCCCAATCACTGATCGGAAGTACAAAATCCACCGATGTTGCCTCCACTGGTTGTGACGTCAGTCCGACGAATCAGTTTTAGAAAACAGTAGGGCGTCATCATCGATGAATAAAAGAGAACCTTTTTCCTTGAAATGTTTAAAGCTTTTATTATACTTAATTGTCAAAGTGGGATTCGCCAACCCCCTGACGAACATGGAAAGGTGTGGGAAGATAGAACTGAAATTGCCGCCATGAAGTATCGAAATCGTTCTATAAAGTGGAGGGAGAGTTAAAGAATGACGTAACTGTTAAAGTTAGTTAATGCCTAAAGGAATTCAAGGTCTCCAAACACACCCTCTGTAAGGGGAAACGGAGGAACATTGCTTGGAATGATAGTCACGAAATATTCTCTCATCGTTAGTCAAACAATATGCTTACAATATTACTTTTACGACGGGGAATTAAATTTTAGAGGAATTTAGTCACGATATTGCGTGAATACATACACAGCAAAATAGCTAGGTAGATGGTGATCCAGATGATGTTGCACCAATATTTCGGCAATTATTGGCAAGTATATAATCTGACAAATTGAAAACAAACATCCAAACAGAAAATATGTCATCGTCTCTATTTCCCTACTTTCGACATTTCGAATGAATACAAAACCCCTAGCAATGTTGTTCCCTGTCTCATGGATAATTGTCTTTAAATTTTAATGCAGCATTCCTATTCTTGTTTGCCTCTCTCACTTTATATTCAATTGCATTGCGTTGCGTGAAGTAGCATCCCCACTGCATTTTCCGAACATACATAACTCATAAAAAAGATAATCTTTTTAAAAATATATCAGCGCCAAAAAAAATGCATCGTTTTCCAACTGCAAAAATTGCAATCTTTAATGATAATTAAATGGACGTATGAATGCAAAAAGGAACCAGAGATAGGTGAGAAATAAGGAGTGTGCTCGTTAGTTGAGGGCCGTAAGAATGAATGGGAATTATACATCGCCGGTGACGTCAGCGGCGACAATGGAGATACCAACGACGAGCCTCCTCAACTAATGAGTTCTGTCCACAACGCTGTTGTCACATGCCCACGACTCACGAGTTAGCATATTTTGGCGCTTGGTCCCTTTTTAATTTAATCTTAATTACCATATATCATTTTGCTGAAAGGAATCACGCCTTGTTTTACATTGTTTCTCATGCAGCTCAATCAAACACACCCCATCTTCCCCACAAGTTTCTAGCTCCTTTCAGCATAAAAACGGTCAAATGAGATCGCAAGCAGTACAACATTTTATAATCATCAAATGCGGATATTAAATTCAACTCATATTTTTTTAGATTCAAACAAAAACATGAACTAATGTCTTGAAGACCTCATAGAAAAAAATAAGTTCTCACGACGGTATTCACACTTTTTAAGCGTTGCCCACTCTACAAAGTGTTTTCACTCACAATCAGTTGAAGGGGCAGAAAGTTCTTTTGAATGCACATGACTACTTAACCTTCATCTGAAGGTGAAACATACGATAACGCGGAACAAACAATAGAATGTAAAGCATGGAGTGTAACTTTTGGAGCTGCACGGTGCACGCAGTGCACGGCGAGTGAGGCGGTGCAGATATCATTGCAGAGCGCTTCTCCTCTATGACAACGGTGTCTTTTATTTTTGGATCTTGAGATTAAAACTAATGGAGTTATTGTTGCGTAAGTCGGGGAATCGTGCTAAAATGGCTCCAGTTTGCGGACTAGTTAAAAATAGTTCGATCGCTTCAAACGCTTTTCCACGCTCAAAGTGAATGCTGACAGGGTGACACGGAATTTTGGGGTACATATCGTTGGATAAGTGCATAAGTGCAGTTTTTGAAAAAATGGAGATTTTAATGATTTCGAGGAAAACTAGTCTTGATACACATTCTGTGAAAAATTCGTTCACGAATTCCAATTTTTAAGCATCAAAAAGTCAGGTTGAACTTTCTTTCCGCCATAAAGGCCCATGTAATTTCGGAACTTCAAACACGTATTTCTTAAAATTGCCACAACTGCACTAATGCGCCTTGTCCTTAAAGTACACAATTTAAACGATACAACGATGATCAACGATGCATATAGGTGCATCACTTAATTTATGAATTTCAGGCCGAAGAAAACATGGAGTGCATATTTGCAGTGGATGCCGCCATCAACCGTGTTTTACGGAGGGTGATATCCGCATTTATACCGAGAGTAAAAACTTAGTACTTGGAAATATCTTACAATGTTTAGATAACGTTAAGGTGATTCGATGGACGCCATATTTTGTGTCAGAACGGCATGCGCTGTATCGCATCAATTGGTTCCATTTTTTCAGCTACTCGTCATTTTTCTCCAATTTTGAGATCGCAATTCTGTTGTCAGGAGACTAAAGCACTCACTTACCAATTCTAACAAAGAAGTTCAACGTAATAAAGGCGTGGTTTTTTCAGAGAGAAAACATCGCANGTATGCGATATTTTCTCTCTGAAAAAACCACGCCTTTATTACGTTGAATTTCTTTGTTAAAATTGGTAGGTGAGTGCTTTAGTCTCCTGACAACGGAATTGCGATCTCAAAATTGGAGAAAAATGACGAGTAGCTGAAAAAATGGAACCACACAAAATATGGCGACACAAAATATGGCGTCCATCGAATCACCTTATGATACACTGTTCTTTCAATTATTTATTTATTTTTCCAGTACGTAAATTCATAATATTACAAGTACAATCTCCATTTTTTTCCGCGTTCATTTGCGCGATAAGGTGACTTGCAAACCGATTAACTCGATCGATAGTTTGTCAAGTAACCTTGACCGACAGCTATGTAATGAAGGGCTTTGGCGTTGCGACGAGCATCCATCACACAAAAAAGCGATAAAGTTTCAATAATCAATCCGATGGGCTTGATTTTGTCGCTTGATGATTGGATAAATTTTTATTATCCCTGACGTGCTCTAGAAAAAAATGAGAAAAGAAAATAGAGAAAAATCAATCAGCCGCAGCTTGCAACCAGATCAGCAGACGTGCATCCTGCGATCGAGGTTGAACGTCGTTTAAGATTTCTAGCTAATCAGTTCGTCGGTTCATTTTTCTTCGCGTGAAAACATGGCAATTATTCTCTACGTCAGTCCAGGCCCTTCACATTATCTCATTATACTTTTCATCCGTTTTATCGACCGCTGTTGTCGATGAAGATGAGCGACTCTCCATTCAGAGCTTGAAGAGCAAGCGCTGTAGTAAACGCAGAGGAACTCATTGAGATGTAATGGAAAGTTGTGGTTGCAGGATATAGCTCTGTTTTTTGCAATCCAACGTGGAAAATAATAATTATGATTCAATAATTTTAAAGTTGCTTTTAACGTTGCGTCGGTCAAAAACATGGTTAATCGACTTTTCCGATTCGACTTTGGGTTTGTTTTATACGCTTTTTCGTCGTAAACGGTCACCAAAATGGATTTCATCCTACAGGTGTCAAGCACATTATTTTCCACCCTATATTTTAAACTGATATAGTTTTTACAAGACTTTCATTGAGATTTTCCGTACATTCGGTCTTCTATGTAGCTTCATACTCGGTTTTAATTAAGAATCTTACCTCAAAATTCCATTCAGCCATTTCGGAGATGAAGCAAGAGATTATTTTTCGAAAAAAGTACGCAATTTCAGTCAACATACATTCATACAACTCCATGCATAGCCTGTTCGGAACGACTCGTTAGATATTTTTTTTGTTTCACCTCATATTCGCTTTCATTCGATAAGTAAAAATGGAGCTATTGCATGTGTAAGGGATTTGCGATTTAAGTACCTTTTTTTTGGTAAAATATCGCGATAAAGACGATGGTGCCACTGGTTTTTTTCTGAAACGAATTCCAAAGCTCAGAAAAGCCCCAAAAGTTGAGGCTGTAATGGAGAGGACATCCTACGCCACCCTGAAAGTCCATTTCTATATCAAGTCAAACTCTCCATGTAAAGATAGGGAACAAATACATTAGGAGGGTTGCTGTGTTTTCACTTTCGGAGTCACCAAAAAATTGGCAACTCTGTTAATGTATTTGCTCCATATCTTCGCATGGAGAGTTTGACTTGATATAGAGGTGGACTTTCAGGATAGTGTGGGGTATCTCCTCCATTACGGCCTCAACTTTGGGAACTTTTTTTGAACTTTGGAGTTTTTCCAGACAAAACTAATATCACAATCGTGTTTCTCGCAAAATTTTACATTGGAATCGTATTTAAATCGCTGATTCCTGATACATGCAAGAGCTGCATTGACACCTACGTATCAGTAGTTTCCCATCCAGAATAATAGCTCTACCCTGATTAATGAAAAATAATCACCAGAGGGAGCATTCTTTAAGACTTGCAAAAAAAAAATACGCATTGCTTCTTAAAATTGCCCCTAAATTATTGCTTTCAAATCCGTTACCATCACCTGCGGCCTGCGGCCTGCGGCTGGTTGAGAACGCCACACCGTTCCAGTAACACATATTGCCGCGGCTAAATATGAAGGCGTTTCATATACGGCGATATCTTACTTGTATCTCCCGTTCATGGAACGCACGTGAATACTCGTAGAGAGTATATACGCGTAGAGCCTACATGTTGAAGCACTTAAAATTTTGCCTCTACTCGGCCTTAATCCCTAAAAATTTGAAAAGCCTGGGGCGTGTATGTGCCAATCCTTTGATGCCTGTATAGGTTTCTATCAGAATATGCCAATGAACCAGCAAAAAAAAAAAAAAGAAAAAAAAAAAAGGTTTTTCCTCAACTGATGATATTAATCATGAATGGCCGATTCAAGTTTACACGTGTGAGGAAATTTAGGGGTACCGTGCAAACTTTATATCCACCGTTAATGCCATGTTGGCTCACGTGTCTAATGTTACTTCATTATTTTTTATATATTTGTCCTCTCGCGAACATTCGGCTGTTCGGCTGTAAATTTTTTGAAGCGTGCTTCCTTTTTATTATTTATTATTTTCTGAATAAATTCTTGCAAAGTCAAATATCCGTCCGAAAGAAGGAATCATCTATCGATTTTTAATAGCAGCGCCCTCCTGTTTCAGATGTATGGCCGCTATACAAAGGAGCTGGGTCAATACGCAAAGGAGGAGGCGAAAGCGCTGGAAAAGAAGCTTAGGAAAGAGGAAATTCTTCGGCGGGAAGATCTCGACAAATATCGGGGCCGGTGCGCATCGAGAATAGCGAACACATTCAGTTTTATCTGGAGGCATTCGTTCGCCAAACTAGGGGAGGACTGGGTATTTTTAGCGCTCCTCGGGATCATCATGGCGGTTCTTAGTTTCTTAATGGATGGCGGCATCAGTATTTGTAATAAAAGTAAGTATGTGCAAGGAACATTGAGTTTCCCTCAAATAAAAGAAATCGACGGTGAAAGTCGGCAATCACATAACTCGATTTGCGACGTCGCAGACTTCCTGTCATACTTGATTCTTTAAACGGAAAACTACTCAACGGTAATTCCTTAAAACTGCCGTGATTTTTCTTCCATGTGCGAGGAAAATTCTGCAAAAACTGCGAGGAATCATGTCCATTTGTTCTCCTTTAAAAAAATAACATAGTTACGGAGATTTTCAGACACCGCAAACGAGTTATGTGATTGCCGACTTGCACCGTCGAAATGCGCTTTGTCTGTGAAGCCATTTAAACTCTGTTTAGATTTTGTTCAACTGGCTTAAGATCGAGGGCTAAGAAACAATACCACCTAACTGACAATTTCGGCGAAAATGTATTCGCAACTTTGATGCATTTTACTGTATTATAATATGCAAGTTGCTGTTTTTAGTTTATTACAATTTCTCATGGGAGAGCTTTAATGACTATGTAATATGTAAAAGAATTGCATATCTAACTTCATAATCACAAAAATGGCGAAGTTTTTTCTTCGTCCTGTCTGCAGATAGGCGGTAATGTTCCTTGCCATCGATATTTAACTTTTTCAAAGTTGCTGTTTTTAGTTTATTACAATTTCTCATAGGAGAGCTCTAACGACGATGTAATGTGTAAAAAAAGTGCATATCTAACTTCATAATTACAAAAATGGCGAAGTTTTTTCTTCGTCCTGTCTGCAGATAGGCGGTAATGTTCCTTGCCATCGATATTTAACTTTTTCAGTTCCAACATGGGTTCCAGAATATCATAATTATTACGAAAACAAAATATAATCATAAGTAAATTACCAACGAATGATCTTTTTTCAAGTATCTTGATCGACAAATATCAAGCTCAATGTTCTTTTCGATCAAATCTGCGTAGTCATCGGGTAAAGGATTTATTTCACCATCTTATGTTTACATAACTGAATTGTTTCGTATCGTGGTAGTTGTGTGAAATCACCTTCTCACATCACGCACTCCTCTTTTTCCCTTTTTTTCATCACCAAGAAGATATTTGGCAGATAATTTTGCGGGTTTCTTGTCGTGTGACCGAGGTACTTTTTTGTGTATTTCCTTTTTTTAAATAAGAAATTCCGCCTCCAAGTAATCGTTTTTTTTTACCTGTTTCAGGTCATAAATGGCTGTACAGAGACCTCGCCGTACATCCTGTAGCAAAATATTTTGCGTGGGTAACTTTACCTACTTGTTTAATTTTATTTTCTGCCGGTTTTGTTCACATAGTGGCGCCACAATCAATAGGTGAGAGCTTATTTCCATAACCACCTTTTGACGAGAGGTTTTTTTGTGTTTTTTCGATCTGAAAGGCAGCTTAAAATTGGAGCCGCCTCAGGTTTTCATAGGCAATTGCTGGTCCATTTGTTCCCAAAGGATGTTTAAAAGCGCATTTCAATGTGTATATCTGCAACGTACTGACGAAAAAAAGTCCTTTTTAAATAAACTATTTTCGATTAAAAGAATGAAAGACTTACTTTTGCACAGCTCTTTGGAATATCAATCCCATTGGTTCAATTTTTCAATCAAAATGTTGATAGAATTGAGCAAAATTTGATTAGAAAGTGAGATTAGTATTTCCATTTAAAAATACCGTCTATAAATTTTTGAAAATCCTGTACATATCTACATCGGGTTGTAATGCTTTCAGCGTTACATCCAAAATTTTGAAATTTTTTGATTCCATTAAGTACAGAATCTAAATTTTTGCATTTATACTCACCCTTGATATTTTCTGTGAAGGCATTAACAGCCCAATATTGGTGTTGATATATCTCTAATAAAAATATATGACTAACCAACTATTTTTATATTTATTCAAAATATTTGCTCCGTAATTACCTCGCATATAAAAACACCTGTTTTGAATTATGTATACTGCATTTAGTTGATGTTAATCACGCTTTGAACGCATGGAATTCTATAAAAATCAGAGCTAATAAGATATACGTAATTATGTAGTAAGTAAGCCAATATAGTCATCTCTAATGCGCGTTGGGAATATACTTCATTTCGGCAGGAAAAAAAATATTTTTACAATTTATTTTCTCGCTCATCTTTCTGTCCCTCTTTTTGAAGCTTCTCTTCAAGGGAGAACACCCATGCGCTCAATGCGTGATTGTGTTTACAGCTGTTCCAGTTAGTTCAAATCTGTGTAAAAAAATTTGAATTTTTTCCTTTTTTTCAGGTTCTGGAATTCCAGAAATGAAAACAATTCTCCGGGGCGTAGCCTTGAAGGAGTATTTAACCTTTAGAACTTTAGTGGCCAAAGTCATAGGACTGACTGCAACTTTGGGCAGTGGACTACCTCTGGGTAAAGAGGTAACTTTTTTTTTCGGGATTAGGTGATCTCAATTTAATTTCTAGCAATGATACACTATGTCTTTTTGTAATACTAAATTTTGCGTAATGAGATGTGGGATATCCACAAACCCCAATTTATGATGCATTGATTCATGTAAACTGAAATTAAAATCTATATTCTATTCACCTCATGTGTTAATGCGGCCTCACTTTTTGCAGCCTGCTAATAAACTGATATGTCAAGTAGGTATATACGAAGAAAGCAAACCGAAGTTCTTTCGTTTCAAAACTAAAGAATAAAAGCAATTCCACCTTGCTTTGCATACAAACGAATTAATTTTGAAGAATTTTCATGAAACAATGTATCCTCTCTGTCTCTCTCTACATGTACAAAAATTATTTGATGAATTGATCTAGGTCGTAATGTATGAAGTTTCATTGATTTATCGAATATCGATGACGTGAGACTTCAGTTAATGAGGAATATATCGATGACCAGTCATCTCAGATTGCAGTATTGGAATTATCCGCTCATGTTTCTCGAAATCAAGACTAACTTACAGCTTGCGTTTTAATTATAATCGGTGAATTTTCTTTAATTCACCGAAAAGAAGAAGGAGAAGAAAAATCCTTAACTGCATGAAAACACTTTGCTCAGTTTTCTCACAAGAAAATAAAGCATAAACGGAGATTGCCATTGTGCTGTGGCGGCCCTTTTTACGCCGATGTCTCATTTTATTTATTTTTTTTTTTAAAAAACAACCCCATCAGCATCTCTTCCTCGTTTCCAGTGAATTATTTTTCTCACTGAAACATATTTTCTGTTTGGTTAGGTATTTTCATTTTGATAATGAAGAAAACATAATCGGTAATTTTGAAATGTTGCGATGGAAATGCGAGTTTTTTAACTTTATATAGCCAGCTATGTATTCTTGAGCCTTAAAGAAATGCAACTTTTGACTGTCGTAGTTCAACGTGCACTTGCGTCCATTCATGTCCTCTCTTTTCCGCTGATTTTTTTTTTTTTTTTTGAACCTAATCAATAATGCTTATTTTGATGGTTTGTTGACAGGGTCCGTTTGTACATATAGCTAGTATAGTAGCAACTCTTTTATCAAAACTAGTGTCTTCCTTTCAAGGGATTTATGAGAATGAGTCTCGAAACACCGAAATGTTGGCCGCCGCGTGTGCTGTCGGGGTCGCCAGCTGTTTCGGTGCCCCAATAGGAGGTAAATAATTTGACACATTTACAAAAACGCTTCACTGTCTACAGCAACTAGCGGCGCATGCAACGTTCTTTAAAATAAAGAAGTATGACGATGGTCCCCCCCCCTCCCGATAAATGTCATCATTTTGCACTGAGTATGTTTTCAAAGTTTAAAAAATATAGATGTGATTAATTTTTTTTAATATGTAACAGAGGTAGCTCACTTTTTTATACTGCTCAAATTTCATCAATCGAATAAAATATTTTATCTTGTAACTCATCATCTTAATCTCAATGACGCGCAATTTTTTTTCGACAAGATGACGAACAGTGCTATTCGTCAGACTTTCGAAGAATCGCCTCCAAATACGCGTGATACAACCATGCAATATTTGGCCGTTTAATAAGTTGCATCGCACAATCCATGAGAATGTTCATTGGTTGTCTTTTAACAGTGCTGATGATACAGTTTTTATCTTGTTTTTCTTTCTTTCGTCTTTTTCTAGGTGTACTTTTTAGTATTGAAGTAACGACTGTTTACTTCGCAATCCGTAATTATTGGAGAGGTTTCTTCACAGCCGTATGCGGAGCGACTGTGTTTCGACTCTTAGCTGTTTGGTTTCATAAAGAAGGTTTGTTTTTATGTCGAAAATACTTCAATAATCAGAACCACGCATCTTATTTGAATGCAGACAAACTGACTTTTTAATTCGCAGAATTCAATCGGATTTCTACATCCGTTGTATGCAAAGATTCTCCAAAACAACTGTTGTTGGTTTCTTAAAGAAAAATAAAGCGAACTCAGGATTTTCCAAGCATCGTACAGTCGATATATTTGTTGGTGTTTTACTCACACTCAACTTGAATATGACCTTATACACGGGGAAAATAAAGTCGAAGTACAGCAAAAATGAGAAGGAGATGCAAAGTTTTGCATCTGACAGTTTTGAACTGTTTGAGTTGTTTTTCTTTTCCATTTCATAAATAATTACTTTTTAAAAAGTTATGACTGAATTTAAAACCACCATTGATTTCAAAAGCTTTCCGAATATGAGTAATTGTTAATTCGAAACGGAAGTTCTTACTTAGAAGTCTTATTTATTGTAACAACCGAACGTTATCTGTTTCCAGAAACTGTGAAAGCATTTTTCCCAACTCACTACACGATGGATTTTCCATTTGATCCGCAAGAGCTCACAGTGTTTGCGCTCATTGGGTAGGTTTAAACGGTTTTAGTTCATTCATCCTCTGCTTCCTGAAATCTACCTTGAATAGTAGAATAACCAATAAAACAAGAATACTTCCTCCTCAAATTTGAAAATATTTTCGATGCATTAGAAGTTTCAACGCTGAAAAATTTGCATAATTAAAGAGTTTATATACATTGAACCGGTCGTTCCTACATACAAAAAACGGTCAGTATCAAGAATCTTGTAAAGCGTTTAGTTTTGTTCATACGGCCGAATCAGGCAGCTTCATTAACTTCTGGTACGAGATCCGGACTATTCGTAATCATTGGCGGGTCCAGCAAATTGGCAACATTGTCTTTTTAACCATTTTAACCTTTGGAAATGTATCGATTCTTGGGGGTCTGCGGTCCGACAAGAATCGAATATTTAGCGTAGGTTTAAATGGAGCAAATCAGGAGTTGCTAAATTGCTTGATCCGCCTCTGTTCATAATTAAATTATCAATGAGCAGTTTGGCTCTGGTAAGGAGCTAATCAGCAAATTGTGTTCTGAATAGGATGATTTTCACAATAAAGATAGATAGATTGGACCAAACATTCAAACATGTGAATCATAAACATTACAATGTTGCTATCATCCCACACAGAAATAACACTTTCCATTACAGTGTACTGCATATGTTTCATGTAAGGAAACAGAAGTGTATCCTCACAATACTCTCAAAATAGTCAGGCGTATATAATGGACCACTAGACAAGGTACGAATTTCAGCATTCTGATATTGATTCTTCACCAAAATTTCACCTGAAACACGACGCGCACAACGAAAATTACCGAAATCAACTTCTTCCGAAGATATTTAATGATTCTTGGTGCGTGAATTCAAACCACCCGCTCATGAAAACTCAATGCTCTACGTGATTCACATCGCATGCTAAACGTTATCATGAACGTCTCTGCGATAAAAAAATTTGGCAACCTCAATCTTGACGCTTCGGCTCAGCTATAGCAAATTACTTAAAGTTTGAAAAACACACACGGGAAATGAACATTGCTCGATTGAGAAGCTTGCTGAAACCGTTGTAGTGTGCGATTTGACTCACGTAGAGCTTTGAGTTTCTTTTGAGCGGGCAGTTCAAATTCCTCGTAAGCAATGTGAAATAAAAAAGTTAATATCTTCGTTAGGAGTTGGTTTCAGTAATTTTCGTTGTGTGAATCGTGTTCGACGTGAAATTCTGGTTAAGAAACCTGTATTAGAATGCTGAAATTCGTACTTCGTCTAGTGGTCCATTAAGCTTTAGTTCTAGCATGACGAATGATCGGACTTTTTTCTGTTTGATCATTAGAGTTTTTTGCGGTCTTGGTGGTGCCGGTTATGTATGGTCTCACCGGCAGTATGTCCTCTTCATGAGGCATAATAAGCAAGTCAGTGCTTTCCTCCAGAGGAAGTAAGTGAGTAATACTCTTCGTGTGTTTTTTTTCTTTTCTTTTTCTCAATCAAATTCTCATACAGAGGGATCGGGTATTGAAGCTGGTCAACATTATCAATCGACGATTAAGTCTGATATTGGTCTTCTCATTTTAAAAAAAAGAGCCACCTCTCCAGTAGTTGTGCTAAGAAGAACGGTGTATGAGCCATCGGACGTTGCTAAATATCGTTAGATTAGACGCGAATTTTCAGGGAAGTTTTTGAATGTTTTCCATTCAATTTTTCAGAGACTATTATTGGAATTTTAATCTGAAATATATGAATAGTTTAAGAAGGAGCATCGATAAATTTTTTTAAAAAATCAAAATTTTTTCGAAAGATATTTCGTTTGCGTTCTTCGTTAGCACGGCAAAGTAGAAGATAAGGAACAAGGATGAAAAAAATAAAATAAAAAGGGTTGATTATTTTTAAAGTACCCGGTGTGAATGGACTAAAATTTAGTCCGCAGAGGCCAAACGGTTGGATTTCAGCAACCTCGGATGGCGCTTAAGGTGTTTTGAAAAATTACTTTTCATTCGTGAAATAGCGTGCAATATTAAGACGACAAAGTCATCTAGAATTAATTTGATTAGTGCCATGTATGCTATGTATGTTATGCGCTTTTCTATGGTACCCTCTCTATTTTTATGTTTATTTAATGTTTTCAGTCGCTTCTTGTACCCAGGATTCGTTGTGCTTGCAGCGACGTCTGTTTCTTTCCCCTTGGGATTGGGCAAATATATGGCCGGTGATCTCAATACGCATGACCAGGTACGATTTATATTCATGTTATTCCAACGAGCTTTCTGCCTTTTCATATTTTGGCTAGGGGGCAAAACTCGTATAATTTCATTTAGAGAAGATTTGCTCTAGCAATTACCCTACGATTTTCGCTCTGAAAGTAGAACATGATTTATAAAACGGAAATTATTGAAAGTAATACTAACCAAGATTCTACGTTTTCCGGTTCAATTCAAAATCCCTGCTCATAAGAAAAACTTGAGTCAAACGCATACTGAACGTTAAGCAAACATTCCAGATATTGCACGTCATTTACACGTGGGAAATGCGAACTACTAAAGACGGAAAACTCGGTAACGCAACGACGACGGAGGCTCGCAGTGCGTACAGTGGCGTACGCGCAATGCGGGAAGTATCCATGCGGTCTTGTAGGCACTAACCGCCCCGTGGAGTTCGCGCAATGCATGGAGTATCCATGCAGTCTTGCAGGCGCTTACATGCGAGCCGCGCCGACCGCAGTGTTTAGCGCGATCATTCAAACGCGCGCAGCGTTTTTCAACTTGTGATTTCAAAGTTTTTTGCACAGGTGCACTCTGAATGGACTATTTGTCATTTACTCTAATAAAAAATAAATGAATTACACAAAAGCCAACTAATTTGTTTCTCTATATTTGTAACTGGTTATGATCGGTAAAAAGCGGAAAAACCAGGAAAGGAAATTGGGGATTGAGAAACTCCTCTGCATGAGAAAGGTTAATAGATTGAGTTGGCGCAAAATAAGCGGAAGGGGGGGGGAGGTGTTTAATATCCAGGCTTGCAACTTAGTCACCCAATACAACGCAATGTATGACATCACCACCAATGATCATTGGTTTTATGTTAAGCGTAGGTATCCGGTTTATTCAGTAATTTCACATGGACGAAGGGTGAATTCACTGTTCAAGAGGCCCAAATCCTTCAGCACTGGACCACAGATAATACTGATGTCTTCGTCAGTCTAGCCGGTTTCATGCTTTACACGGTAAGTTCATTTTAATATCATAAAAATACGTCAATTAAATTTTCTTACTCTGCGATAACGTCGGGATGGTGAACTTACCTTGCAACGTCATCTTCCCTCAAATGTCTTCATTACTTAAGTTTACTAGAAAAAACTTATGACCATCCGACTTTCAGATATTTGATGAGCGACCAAAACAAAGTAAAGCTTTTGAGCATTTTCATCTTCAAGAATGTAAACTTGTCTTTAGCACGCGGTTTAACTTTATGTCTCCGATTTTAAAAAATTATCAGGTCAACATTCTATGGGTTTATGTTTCAAAGTTTAATGCGGAAATTTACCTCTTTTCCAGTATGTGTTTTCTATCATTGGCTCGACCATCCCTGTTCCATCGGGAAGTTTCATACCTGTTTTTAAAATCGGCGCAGCGTTTGGTCGTATTGTTGGTGAAATGATTCATATTTGGTTTCCATACGGAGTGCGCCATGGAAATTTTATCGCTCCTATTATTCCAGGCAAGTACCATTTGCGATTATTTGATTTATTAGCTTAAAAATTTTCCATCGATTTTGAAAAATAGATATATCTGCCGTAATTCCGTAACTTCATGAGTGATTGCTGAAGAGAAACATGTCGAGGACCAAAATGAAAAAAACACATCGCGATTGCGTCCCTCAACATTATCACCATAGCGTAGTGTATTTCTTGAAAGAAAAACCGATGAAAATTTGCTCGATATTTGTAAAACATTTGATACAGAATAAGTATAAATTTCAAGGAGTGTCTCACCGTCGAATTTCAGTTGAAAAAATAAAATTTGATAAAAAGTCCGTAACGTCGCAAATCGGATTGCGTATTTTGCGACTATCACTATTCGTGTCCTTTTCCATGCCAATCAGATACTTTTGTGTCTAAGCAGGTGCATGGATTTCACCTCCGCCGAGAACTGAGCCGAATAACTCTAAAAATACATTCAATTTAAGATAGAGGCTGAAGTTCCAGAAACTACGATAAATTATAAAAATCCAACCTGAGAAAGGTCAATGTTTACTTATGATATACGACTCTCAAAAGATCCAAAACATTCTGCAAGTTCCAAAATTGAGGGACTTGGAGGACAAGGCGCATAAGTGCAGTTTTTGCTGTTTCGAGAAATACTTGTTTGAAGGTTCAAAATTACATGTATCATTGGTAAAAAAAGAAATTTCAAACTGACTTTTTGATGCATAAAAATTGAAATTTGGGAGCAAATTTTTCACAGAATATGCATTTAGACTTGTTTTACTTGAAATCATAATTGACGTCATTGAATCATTGAATCATTACCGTAATATCTCAATTTTTTCAAAAATTGCACTTATGCGCCTCGTCCTTCAAGCCCCTCAATTCAGGATTCGTTTTTAAGAGCAGGGTCACTACCAAATACTAATTTTACAGCTCTATTTTTTCAATTGAGACAATTTTTTCGAAATAATTTTCAGGATAAAAATGTCGGTTTTAATTATTTGAATAAGCTTTAATTGACGAATCATTATTTCTAGGTGGATACGCCACTGTTGGCGCTGCCGCATTTTCAGGAGCAGTCACGCACACAATTTCTGTTTCCGTCATAGTTTTTGAAATGACCGGACAGATTACACACATCGTACCAGTCATGGTAATTTCTTTTTGTCCTCATAGTTCTAGGTGTAAAAAAATAAGTTTTGGACTAGAGAGTTCTTTTATGCGTTCCTCATATTAAAGTAAACGTAATAACGTAAACGTAAATATGCGTCTGAGGTAGATTAAAACAAATCGTACTAAATGAGTTATTCTGCGCCAGTAAGCATTGATAAGATCAAGTCAATAGTCATATAACAAAAGTTCATATTGTGTTCATGACTACTAATGTATGTTTCTTCACATAGCAACTCACAACTTTGTCGTCAAATGAGTACTTTCTGTATGACATTTTTGACAGAAAATTTGGAATGGAACGTTGAAAGTTTCTCGTAACTACGTAAAAAAACATATCAAAAAGCTAATAGTGAGGGCGATGTTTTGGGCCTAGAGCCTAAGATTTCTTTTCCTTTTGCAGTGTAAAGGAGATAAAAATGAAACTTACTCTTTGTAAGGCTCCTGTTATTCTTACTGTTGGGATGAGTTTTGCTCAGGTTTAGGAAAGTTGGAGGTAAACCTAATTTAAAGAGGTTTCAACCTCTAGATTGAAACTATGCGAGTGATAGGATTGAAGAACCCTTCAGTATACTTCCTGCACAAAATGCACAACTAGGCACAAAATAAATTTTAGCTGAGGAGCCATAACGAATTTTACAGCCGTTATTCTTATTGTTGGGAACTAATGACTACCTTTGCTATAGCAAATATGAACGAAAATAGTATAATTTTAGTGAAGCCTGCTAATGCAATTTTTTTAATACATTTTCAGATAGCTGTTTTGATCTCAAATGCTATAGCAGCTTTACTGCAACCCTCTCTTTATGATAGCATTATTTTAATAAAGAAATTGCCGTATCTTCCAGATCTGTTGCCTTCTAGTTCTAGTAAGTATTCAAATTCAATTCACCTCATGGTAGCAATTTTTCATTGAAGCGCTAGCTGTTTTGATTTAAATCTCAGTATCAATTCATCCTACAATGATCACGCTGCATATTATGTCAACATTATTTGGCAATTTTTATTTCGAAATTCTTCATCAGGAAATACAATTTGAACGTTATCATAAACCACGAACTTACTTAATTGCACTATCATGGAAAAAATTTTCATTTGAACTTCCACTATAGAGTGACTTAAAACATTTGAATGCCGACTTTCAAAATCCAGTTCCGAGTAAAACTACCATTTTTTTGGGTTTGCTGCGCAGGTATTTACAATGTTTACGTCGAAGACTTCATGGTGAGAGACGTAAAATTTATCTGGCAGAACATGAGCTACCGTGATCTCAAGGCTGTTCTGAAAGAGAACAGACGGATTCGAGTCTTCCCATTGGTCGAAAAACCCGGTAAATATTACTGTCCATATTTTGTGCTTTTTATTTTTATTATTCTCGAGTTCCTCTAAAAAGTGTGTTTAAGAACGACATCACACAGTTGAATACATTGATATATTCAACACAGACTTCCGCAAATTCTGAACTATAAATTCTCATTCCTCTGAATTCCTCTTTGATATTGTTTAAAAAATCAGAAAATTTTCAACATGGACTAGTTTTTACAAATTCTTTATTGTCGGTGAAATTCATCTAGTTTTTACGAGTTTTATTTACGCATCACGTGTTTTTTCTCCCTTACAAAAATCGATAATTTACTGCGAGCACATTTTCTTCCTCTCAACACCCTCGCCCCGGTTTTTCAGGAACATGAATTATCAAGTATTCTATTCTTAATCTTCACTTCTCCTTTTTTTCAGGTACGATGATACTTTTAGGATCAGTTCAGAGACTTGAATTGATAAAAATGTTAGAAAAACACGTTGGAAGAGAGAGGAGGCTTCAAGTTGTCGCTAAATGGCAAAAAGAAGCTCAAGAAAGGTATTAGTTTCCGAAGTTTGTTGAAAATAGAACTGACAATGAAAATGACGGTATATTGATGAGAACGGTTTAAATGTGTGTTACTGCATCATACATCAATAAATGAATCATAATCATAATTTTAAGTATTACACCAAAGAAATATGAGTTTTTGTGTCAGCAGCAGTTCTCCTCAACGCTAGATAGTTTTTTGAGCTTAGACGCGAAATTCCAGGATACTGTAGGATTTAAGTCATAATTGATGCAAAAAAATTGTATCTTTTAACCCACTTAGACTCGGGCCAATCATGTCCCAGTTTTCAAACTGAACTGAATGAAAGTTCAATTCGGTTATTTAGTTTTACTGCACTTGCATGCATTTGTCGATATCGGAATATCGTGCCAAGACCTATTGAGATTCGAATTTTACTATACCTGTAAACTTACGTTTCTGCAAAAGACAAATCTGATGTGGCATTTTAGCGATGAAATTGTGCTAATTTCAGCGATAAATTCGCAAAAGAAACCCCTACCCATCTAAAAAGACGATTAAGGTTCGATAATAAAATAATCAATGAAACACAGATTTGCTTTGATAATGAACAATAACATTCAAAATCATGTTTTACGCAAAATAGCATTCTACAAAAGCTAATCAAACTGCTCATTTCAAAGGGTGACAGCAATTTCATTGTAAACATGGATGTAATAGTACCTTTCATCATCTATTCAAAGACTCCTGTATTTTTTCCTAATTTTGTTTATTTAATTTTAATTCAGAATGGAGGAGCTTCACAGAAAAAGACTTGAAAATCACCAAAGACGACCTTCCAGGTTTGAAGTGACTCCTGCGCCAGACATTCTTCGGATGAAACAAATTTCGACCGATGAATTACCCAGTTTGTCATCCACACAAGCAAGCACGGATAATTTGAATCAGGTAAATCTCGCAATTACCTGAAATATTTATAGTTTTTCCTGAACCCTAGGTAAAAAGCTATTGGACGGTGAAACTTCAAAAATGCCTTTTTCAGTTGCGGTGTTTCGAAATCTCCGCTCCTATTTTATTTTTTAAAAGGAAACCGAACCAACATTATGGTTTCAAGTTTTCACAGAATATTTTTTAAGAAGGAGAAGAACCATTGAAGCTTTTGAAAAATGACGCACAGTTATTTTCCATGTAAAAAATAAAGTATGCCAGGAAATCTGCAACGCGGCATACCGAGATACGTATTTCTGTAGTTACACAATAGTATTGCTCTATGATTGACGCAGCTCCCTGGCGGTGCATATTCCCAAAAATCTCAAATTTTGTATTCTAAAGCAAGGTACTTTTCAGAGGTGTCTATAGTTGAGAGGTGTAAAATTTGGACATATATAAATGTTGAGGATGTACGCTGAGGGTTATAGATATAGTAATATTTAATAATCTTTTTTTCCAGCCCCAATTTCATCCAGTGTACGGCTGTCAACCGAGGAAGTCCATCCTCAAGAAAACGAATTCATTCACTTTAAGGAACTACAGTCCTAGTCTAATAAGCCCTGTTGTCACACCGTACACAACAGTGACCGGAGCTGAAAGCAGGTATGCATTAAGATTTTCAAAATAATTCAGTGTCTGATGGGATTTCTATTCGCTTAAATTAAATGTCTAGAAACAAATGTAATTATTTGATGGATTTATTAAATAGTAGTTCGTCTACATTCTAGATAATCTATCAGCAGAAAATCAAATTTTGATCATAGTTTTCCCGAGCAACAGTTGAATTGAGGATATTTTGCAACAGCGAAACGCCTAATATCTTCCTCTGGGAATTCTGAACTCTCTCATATGCATCCTTCGGGAGAATCCCAACCGGAATACTTTTCTTACCGCTCGGAAATTTCGCCGCGGTGTTTTTTTATGACACGAAGTAATACCATCTGCCTAGCCTCTGACTCTCAATGAGGCTTATGCAAAGTTTTGATCCAGGTCTCACATGGGAATTTCAGAGCAGGATCAGAGAAAAAACCGCCTCTGCGCACATTCAAAGTTTTATCACGATATGGCATTATACAAGGAATATCATTCCTACGTGCTTCCGCCGATTTTTATCTCTCGCTGCTCATCTGTGACCTGCTTTATGTTATGTTTCAGAATTAGGCTAGCCTTTGAGGCCATTTTCCACAAATCAGCAAAACTTCAGGATGTGAATCCTGACCCAGAATTGGGAGCTGAGAGACACCCTAGCGATAGTTCTATCAGTCAAAACCCTCCAATGAGTCCTGGTATTTTAAAGAAAGTTCAGTTGGTAAGTAATAGTCCACTTCTTTTGTTTACATCAATATTTTGATTTTTTTTCCCTTCCCATTCTTATAAATATTTTTCAAATATCATCAAACTTTAAAGTTGCCGATGAACCGCTAGATGGCCAAAAAATAACCAAGAACCATAAAATATGATAAATAGACAACGAAAACTGGTGAGTTTTGCCTACTTGAAAATTATGCAACAGTCTCAACTATTACCTTGCTTAGGTGTGAGATTTTGTCATTATGATAAAAATAAATCTATCATTCAATTTTTTCACAAACACATACTCTGAAACATATTTTACTCGTAATTACTGCAACTTCAATTTTTTTCTTAAAAAAAAAAAACTCTGTGAACTTCTTTTTATCCACAATATTCTTCAACTCTTTCCCGTTCTTAAAGAAAAAGATGTGTTCCTCACCACAAAAAGCATGGGAGCGAGGGGAACTCTGTACTGCTACCACGTCACTTTAGCCAGCATTACGTTTGCTAACATCAGTTTTTTTCTTTTTCTTTTTTTTTCAGCCAAGGGAGAGGGTGATCGACATGTCTCCAGAGGACCAAAAGCAGTGGGAGGAGGAAGAGATGAGGCAGCTTGTCAATTTTAGCGACTGCCATATCGACCCCGCACCATTTCAGTTGGTCGAGAAAACTTCTCTCCTCAAAGTCCATTCCATATTTTCACTCATAGGTATCAATCAAGCGTACGTAACGGCCATTGGTCAGCTGGTCGGAGTTGTCGGAATGAAAGAGGTAAATTTCAGTTTTCTTATTCTCTATATTGCGATCATTATTTTACCGATACAAAATGTGAGAATTTGAAAGATACATTGAAATGTAGTGTGCAACGAGGACGCAGCGTTGATCGTAGCAAGGGCTGGGTGCAACTACTACCGCCCATACGGACGGCGTGTTTCATACCTCGAAAATTGAAGGCGAATTGACCAATTTTTCACTTGCTCCCCCACAGAATCGTCGCGCGCGACATTGATAGGAACGCCGCACAATAGACCGAATCAATGGTAAAGGTCAAACATGAATGTTTTGACGAAAATCGCAAATATAGTTATTTATTTCGTCGAATTTTTAACTTTAAGAGGTGGTTCTTGTAGAAAGTTTTACGAGGAAACCAGTGGAATCATTAATAAGATCTCAAAGTTTTGTGAAAATAGAGTTATGAGCTTTTATAGTTTCCAATCGTCCGACCTCTCCCATTGACTCGATCCACTGTTCGGGCGTCATTGTACGACCTTTCTTGTTCTAAGCATGACCATTTTGCATATCCAAATAATTGAAGGTGCACTTGGATTCTTCTAACTCTGCTAGAGCAACGCGCGGATACAACATTGATTGCACAGACTAAAGGCTACACGCGACTATTCTTGCTCGATGTGCGCTGTGCGTTGCGTTTAAAAAATGAAGGTGTACTTACAATTAGATGTCCATTAGCCTCTGGATTTTAAGAGCCATTAGCCTTTAAAAGATATCTTGAAAATTAGGTTGGAAAATTTACGGTGGCGCTGAGTCTGAAACTGTGGATCAAATTTGGCCTGATAGGTTTTGACGCAGTTTTAATTGAGTAAATTAGTCAAAAATTATATTTCTGACCGCGCTTCCTCAAAAATTGAATGAAAAACGCCGAAATTCCCTATTCCCATACCGTAAATATATCGTAAGAATTATGCCAATAGACAAAACAGACTCTCCCCTGTCACTTGCTTTTCCTCTTACTACAGTTGGGAAATATTAAAATTATTATGTATATGAGGAAGTAAATCACAGTGAAACAGTCTATATGTTGTCGCCAAGTCCAACAATCACTTTTTACTTTCGATGAATGATTTTCATATTTGTTTGAATTGTCTTGAAGACTTTAATAATTGAATTTATTGTTTCAGTTGCGCAAAGCGATCGAGGACTCAAATTCTGGCGCTTTCCCCCACCAACAAAATCAGCAGCAACAAAGACAATCAGTAACCGAAGCATTACTGAATCCAGCAGATCTCAAATCGAACAACAATGAAAATAATATTCCATCTTGTAAACCCATCAATTAAACGTGATTTTTCTAGTCGTATTTGTGCGTTCTTTTTATTCAAAATTCCTCAGAATCCGCGTTTTATTTCAAAACTTTGCCACGCAGTTTTATTAATTCCCAGCGACAGGGAGTAAAGGGAAAAGATAATTTACGTACTATAAATGTGGTATTAAGTCACAATAACTAACAGTCTGTCTCATGATTATGTTAATATAAAAAAAAAAAATTCTCTAGTTTGTTAATTAAGTATATTAAAATTACTGGTGGTTAATTATTAGAGGCATATGAACATTTCGAGTTAGGCGCATTTGAGGGGTATTGCAACCATTATTTCTTTGTCGTAAAATTGAAAACATTATTTGACACAATCCTGTGCTGAAAATCTGCACACAAAAATCTGCACGTTAAATGCACATGACGGGAAATACCAAACCAGTGTAAGATTGGAAAAATTGTCCATACTTAAAATGAAATGCACTGACATGAAATTTGAAAAATGCACTTATAATGGTCCGTGTTAAGGACAACAGTTCATCGAACTTACGCTCTCTAGCAAAAGATAATGGTGGACACCTATAGGTAGTTTTATTAGGTCGAAAACGAAATTATTTTAATTAAGGGTCATCAAATGAACATAATTTAATCACACTTATTGTGCAGTAAAAAATTCCTATGAAATTTTTTGATGAAGGCCGACGCTAAAATAAAAACTTATTGTTTACCTCGAGTTAAGCCATTTATCTGTAGATCTAGTCAGAGGCAGTAAAACAATTTTATGCATTCAAGTGATAGGTGCATTTTTAATGATTTTTATGGAAAGAATCTGGTGTCATTGACTGAGAGTCAGCACTTACAATGAGCTGACTGGTTCTCTCTCCGAGGACCGAAAATATTCAAGAAAGTGCGATCCTGATTGAAAAAGTTCAAGAACTTAACATAGGTTTTTCATTTTGCAGAGCTTGCGTAACATAAATTAAATAGATATTCATAATGAAGACAAGTAGTCATTCATAAAACCAAAAACTAAAACCACATACAAAATCGATCTCGTATATACTATTGCCAGCTCCCGACGCGTCAAAAAATAAGTTTTTGGCTCCAGGGTACAATTGAAAGTAAACTATTTCATTTTGTGGCGCGGCCAGAAATTTTTAAGAAAGCACAAGTTCAACATATTATCTTTTTGGCAAGATTCGTAAGATTCCTCCAGTCAAGAGCGGCTCGTACAAACGGCTTGAAACCTCAAACTAGTGAATGTTTCCCTCGTAAATAGCGAAATCCAGTATTTTGTCAAATGAGATGGTCTAACAAATGTTGAAGATTTACACATCCTTGCATGCTTTTTGATGAAAAAAAATATCTCAGTTTCATAAAATTCTTGATGTGAACACACATCGGATTATGAATTTTCCTTTTTTAATTTTCAATTTATTCAGAGTTGATCATCATGGTCCAGATTGACGCAAAACACTACATCCATCCAGAAAAAAAGTAAGAAATATGTCTGTTACAAAGTTATGTAATTCGCAGTTTTGACCTCCTTTTGATACAGATATGTTGAAGGTAAGACAATGTTTTACAAGACACTTATTCGGGACCATTTAAATGAAAGTCAAGCTACTCAGTAAAAATCATTTTTAACAGAAAAACTTCCTAAAATTACAGTATTACTGTTGGAGCTGATGCGAACGAATTATGTGAATCAAAAGGAGTTGTTCAAAGGGATATTCTCCGGAGAAGGTTTAGAAAACTCAGACACCTTTTAGGAACAATTTCAAGTAGTTCTGAAGGAAAATTTTCTTGATATAAAGTTTCAACTCTGTTAGAAATTTCACGCAGTGATCTTACGAAATTCCTTGAATTTTTCCATGGGAGTAAAGGAGAATTTTAGGAGAGACAAACTCTCTTATTCCTCTCGCCTCGCCTGTTCCGCCCATATACGCAAGTGTACTTTTTATGTCGCCAAGCCATTAGCGCCATGCGCCATCAGTGCCGTTAGATTGAAATGTGTCGCATTTTGTTTGACTGATGATTGACTGATGTTACCATTGAGCACTTTTATCGAACATCATAAGATATGCGATTATTCTAGGTTGAACTTACTCAAAAAAATTTGAAAGGTTGCAATTGACGTAATCTCAACATTGTTGATTGATATAGCTTATCATGACGTCAACAGCAAACACGGCAAAAAAGCGGTATGGATTATGTTCCAATCGTTGGATTAGATACGAACATTTCCAATTAATTTGGTAGTACCCCAATTTTTGAGTAATGCGCGGTAATATCAAAATTAATTAGAAATATATGTCCATATCATCCTACAAATCGGAGTATAGTGCATATATCACAATTTGGGGGCCGAATTTAAACCGCTGATGGCCATGCATTTTGGACTTAGAACAACTTCGGAAAAAAGTTCACTTCGGATAAAAACTTTTTTCCTGGATCAAGTTGCCATCGGGTTTTTATCTGTGTGGTCAAATATTAATTGAACTAACTCCGTTGGATGTAAAAAGACGCCGGACAAACGTTTTTGGGCGAAATGGTTCACGGATAAACTTCACTGGACCAACTATGACTTAAAACTCAAAATTCGTCTGATGGAAACAGAGACAAAAACCCTCTAAAGGCCTCTTGGCACCCGTTGGAGACTTTTACTATTGAGGATTCAACACATCCTTATGGACAATTATAAGGGAGCAGGAGGCATCACCCTTTCTTCGATTGTTGCGACCTACCGGTGGATGACGATGAGCTCCAAACAAATGAGTAATGAGCCAAACTTTGCCATGTTTGAGAAACGAATTACCGAACATGTTGTTCGACATCAACCTATAATAAGTGTGCAACAAGTAAATATTGGAGTCCCAAAAGTAAAAGCTCCCACCATTGCCTTGATAGCAATGCCCAAGTGCAGGCCCGCTACATTCCATCTCGGGCCCTGATACCAATTTTAAGGTCCGGGCCCCAAGCACGGAGGGGGGGGGGTCCGAGGGGCATCTTCCGTGAAATTTTAGAATTTATACGACTAATCGGACGCATTTTTAAGCTTCCGTAAATAATTTTTCCATCAATTTCTGCGGAATAATTATGTTTTTTTTCTACTTTCAACACAAAATACTTGCGAATTGTTGCATTCAAAACATCTGGAAAATTTTTATTTTTTTTTTCTTTGGGGGGGGGCATATAATACTATTTTCAGTTCTAAAGAAGCCAGCCCCCCCTCCCCCTGGACTCTCCCTTCGTTTGTCTATGACAAGGGAGTTAAGCCATGAGCCATTAAAGTCGAGGATGCCCAGACTGGAGACTCCTAGCATCTGACGACGGGAGAAAATGAAACGCAGTTACTAAAAATATCCCTGTACTGAAAATCTTGAAAATAGATAGAAATTTTCCAAGAAGTATACTTCTTTGAAAATTTAAGAAGAATTCTACAGTGCCTCAGTGTGTTTCTGAAAATCTATTCACCTATTGCGAAATTTTTAGGGTGAATGTTTCACTTTTTCTTACGAAACAAGGGTTGCATGTGAATTTGTAGTGGTTTTTAACGGGTAACACGGGCCCCCTCCGGGGCCCGAGCCCCGGTATCAGGGACCCAGTATCCCCCCCCCCTTGTGGCGGGCCTGCCCAAGTGGCAGGGATCGCGATAAATAGCGATTTTTTCGGTTGATTATCGCGATTATATCGGTGGCAATATATCGAGATACTATCGCATTAAAAATCGCAATATATGGCGATTAAATCGCAACAAATCGCAATTTTTGGTTCAATAAAATCGTGATCAATTTTTGTCGATAAAATCGAGAGTCAATCGCCATTTATCGCGATTTTTATTTCGAAAATATCGCGATAAATTGTCGGGCGATAGAAGTGCGATTTTATCGCAATTATCCTCGGATAATCGCTCAGATGTTGACGATCCTGGCGATTTTATCGCTGAAAAAATCGCAATATATAGCGATCCGTTGAAAAATGCTACGTGGGTGGATGGGCTCTTTGTCTCTGGGTGGGAAGGTAAGAATTCAATTTCGCTAATCCCTGATCGAGTATAAAAAATCTAGAGTCCCTTTTCACCCAGAGTTAAGACAACTCGATAATCAGCTGACTGGCAGCCGGCCTTGGCTGGCCATGGAGGCCGAAACGAGTGCACCCGAACGAACGATATTGAGGGACAAGGATCAGGAATCCTGCGATGTCTGTCACACAAAAACTACATCAACAAATTGATCAATTAAAAAGAAAATGAGATTGGTTTGTGAATAATTTCTTAATCTATTCTCATTTTGGACCGATGGAAATGACAATTTACTCTTTATAAACCACAATTAGGTAATATTTTCATTATTCTTGTTTACATTCGAGGTACCGCCATCTTGGTGCACTCGTTTTGGCCTCCATGAGCGAGAACCAATCAGAATTGGATTTTTTTTTAGGCCACTTTCAGCCCAACCAAAAGGTAGCCAAAGAGGAGTTGTCTTTACCTCTGGGTATAAAGGGACTCTAAAAAAATCAGATTAAAGACGAGATAATCGTTGAAAATGGCGACAGTTTATTTAAAGCACTTAGCATACACTGGTTGAGCGTCGGCGGCATCGGGCGCGTCGTTATTCTTCTCGTCGGGGCAGTTGGCCCAAGGGACCCAGCTCCACCAGGAGTAGGAGCAGTCGCTCGGGGCGGAACCGTCCCTTCCAATGAGGGGCTCGGCCTCGGTGAGCTGACGTTGCTGCGCCGGCTCCAGCTTGGACTTGGCGTAGTTCATGGCGGCCCTCCGAAGCTCGCTCTCCACCGCCGGCGACGTCAGCGCCTCAGCCAGCTCCGCCTTGCTCCGAGGGGTCACCGATCTCTGCAGGGTCTTCGAGACCGTCTCGTAGATCAGCGAGTCGGGGTAGCCCTTCGCGTTGATGGCCGCCAGCGCCGAGATGACGTCGCTCGAGATCTGGAGCTGGGAACAGGAACCCGAACGCCGGGTAAGTAGTGGAAAGTGGTTTGTTCGACCGCCAATGAGCAAGTGGACGGTTCTTAACATTGAAAACACTCTGTCTCGGCACTCTGATTCCTTAAGGGTAGAGTACCTATATTGAGAGAGTATGGCCACTGGTGTTACCACCTCTGATTGGCTCAGCCATCTTAGGCTGAATGGAGCCCTTAGGACGCAAAAATGGCGGACGCCATAAATTAATGTAATGTAAAATGACTCGAAATGTAGTTTTCTTTGCTTATCGTAACGAGAAATTTACCCAAATGCGATATTGCGACTTCTTTACATATTTTTAAGGCTGATCGTGTGCAACTTTTGAGAAAAATTATCTTAGATGTAGTAAGGTTTGCAGCAAGTGCGGTTGGTGATAACCGTCAAAAGTTGGAGAGGACCCCCCTCCTATCCACAAAAACCAAAACAAAGCACCGTCATTTTTGGGGTCCTAAGCCTCTCCGGGGCCCAGTGGCCATACTCTCTCAATATAGGTACTCTGCTTAAGGGTCCATTCACGGAAAAAGAAACTTCGTGCGTGGGACCCGAAGTTAAGGTCATATCGATGGCCAAAGTGCGGAACCTTGTATCTCCAAGGTGGTGTTTCAAAATTTCTGCTCGTGTTTTATTTTTTCGAAGACAATCAAACCCACCTCATAGCTTGAAATATTTTCGGAAATATTTTACCGATATATTCAACAGTGAAGAAAAATCAAGGAAGTTTTCAAGAAATTACCACGATTAGTTTTCCTAAGAAAAAATAAAGAATGGCAGAAAATCTGCAACGTCGCAAACGGAGATACGTGGTTTCGCACTCTGGCCATCGATATGGATCTCCAAAGTCTTCGGATCACGCATCCAAAAACTTCAGCGATCCGTATGACTTTAGTTTCGAGTCTCTCGAGAGAAGTTTCTTTTTTCTCTGTGTAAATCGTAGTCTCCTGGACGAAGGGACGTGGCACCATTCCAAGGTTACAAAATCGACTCAAACAATTAAAGTTTTTATAGGACTCTACCTGTAAAATTTTTGTGTAAATTTTTTTGAATTTTTCCATGAGATCAGAAGAAAAATTAGTGAAATTTTCAGTTAGAAATGCCGTGGTAAAAATGGAATTTACGAGGGTAAATTTAACAACTGTAAAATCTTCCAAATAGACGAGTTAGCAATCCCATGACAGCTTTGTCTAAATAGTTGTCTCTCAGAATTCAAAGGCGCGTAAAAGAACAACTGCTTGGCGATTCTAGAATTGGCCTGTCGCGGGTTGCATATTCATGAATTTGAAGGCTATTTGCGTACTGGCGATCTTCCTCCCTTACGAGGAAGGAGGCATTTGAATATAATGACAGGAAAGAGGGGTTTTATAAGGCCTTCAACAATTAAAGAATCATGAAAAGACTTAATTTAAAAAAATCGTTATGAACAAAACAGAAGTATTAATCTCAACCTTAATTTATTCTCAGTTAAATCAGTCTATGTTTTCTGATGACATTGACGCCCATGAAGATGCCATCAGTCCAAGACTCATCGTGGACAATCGATAGTCTTGGTAGGTTTTACTTCGATTATTGCAGTAAATTTCTTCCACCGATAAGCTGCTTAAGCACCCTGAAAAGCAACATTGCCTCAATATTTACAAATATTATAGAGGATATTAGAGCAGAGTTCAGAAAATATTATTTATGAAATTGAAAACAATAATGCGAGGTTGGAGGTCCAAATCAGTAAAAAAACAAGCAGTGAACTCCAACACAATGTGTTGATAAGGCGCGTCATTAACTCGCACATATCAACCCCTTTAGTTTTCATTTACAGAGATTTCAAAATAGGCAAACAGCATAAAAAGAGAATTCACGATCCAACACTGCGAGGTCAAAGACGCACCTTGACGAGACCGTGTATTGTGAAAGTAGAAAGCTATTCGATCGAATTTAAGTTTTTTGATCTGCCTCAAGCAAAATCTTATCAGATTCTTGAAGAAAAGTGCTACGGAATAATTTAAGCGAAGAAAGGAAAAATTCTGTCGAACTCCTAGAAGATAAAGTCGATTTAAAGGTATTTTGGGGCTAAAATACCCAAATCACCGGTAGTAAAAATCCCGTTATATTATTGAAAAGAAATTGACTCGATATAAATGCAATTGCATTAAATACGTCTTGATTTTGTTATTTTAAACGTCTTTCCATGCAAAGAAGTTCAACCATGTCGTTGCTTTATTCATTCATGAATTGAAAGTAAGCAATCTACATCCCGAAAATCTACTGATTTGCCGTAAAAAATTGCAGAAACTTGATATACCAGGTCGATGCACCCACTCGTTGAATTTACCAACCAATTTTGTGAGTGCA